TTCCACGTTTCCACCAGGCGTGTGCTAACGCTGTGCAGGCACTGGGCTGGGCTTCCACGTTTCCAGTGTGTGGACGCCGATGCTGTCCAGGCCTTGCTGCTGCTAAGCACAGTTCTCCGATTAATAAAGATAAGAAAGGCAGTCTTCAAAAATCCCACTTGTAGGCAGTAAAACATGTTTGTGTGAAAACAGCCCTGCCTGCCAGAAATGAAAAACCTGCTGAAGACAAGCTGGCGCCTCTGCCTCCTAATTCCTCTGCAGTAACGGTGGAAGTACAGGCCCGGCACCGTCTCCCCTGCTGGCCCAGGAAGGTGACAATGTTTTCTTTTTTAGCTATGGAAGGAATGTAACAAAGTCACACACGGCAGGGGGCAGCAGAGACAGGACGTAGCTCAGCCGTCTTGACCCTGACCCTTGCACTGAACTGGTGACCAGATCGCTCCGAGGAAAAGCAGGATCTGAACTCAAGGATGGCCGCAGCCCTTGCATCCTGTGGGTGCAGGCTGGAGCAGCTGCAGCTGGGGCAGAACGTGAGTGAAGGCGGCCGGCACCCTGAGAGGGCAGTGGCCCTAGAGAGGGGCCCGTGGTGGAGCCTGACTGCCTGCTGTCCACACCCTGCAGGCCTGGACCCCCGCCCTTGGCTCCCACTATGAACGGAGCGGCCTGAGCCCCGGCTGCTCCCTCGTGGGGTCGTTTGAGGAGCAGCTGAGGTGGAATGAATCACGTTTGGACAGAATCACATTTCCACAGATGAAGGCCTCTTCGACTCTCCGGGCAGGGTTTGCATGGCCAGCAGATGCCAGGTGGACAATGATGCTCAGTCTTCTCCCAGAGTGACAAAGGCCCCGACCAGACAGGGCAGAGTGGAGACACTGCTGGCTGGGAGGTTCCGTCCACCCCAGCTGGAGGAGGCGGGAGGCCACGGCTGCCAGCCAGGAGGCCACGGCACCCACGTGCGCATGTTCGGTCCTGCAGGGCGGCTCCAGGCAGTGGCCACAGCGCCCTCAAGGGAGGGCACTTCCTCTCCCCAGATCCACACATTCCTGACTCCACAGCCGGTTTCTTTCTTTCTTTTTTTTTTTTTTTTTGAGACACAGTCTAGTTCTGTCACCCAGGCTGGAGCGCAGTGGCACAATCTCGGCTCACTGCAACCTCCACCTTCCAGGTTCAAGTAGTTCCAGTGCCTCAGCCTCCCGAGTAGCTGGGACTACAGGTGCACATCACTGCACTCGGCTAATCTTTTTTCTGTAGTTTTTAGTAGAGATGGCGTTTGCCATGTAGGGCAGGCTGGTCTAGAACTCCTGACCTCAGGGGATCTGCCAGCCTTGGCCTCCCAAAAGTGTTGATATTACAGGCGTGAGCCACTGCACCCAGCGCTTTTTTTCTGGGTTCTTTTTTTTTTTTTTTCTTCAAAAAAACTTATGTTTTGGATTCAGTAGGTACAAGTGCAGGTTTGAGTGATGCTGAGGCCTGGTGCACGAGTGACCCAGGTACTGAGCACAGTACCCAGTGGTTAGTTTCTCAGCCCCTCCCTCCACCTCCGCCCGCCAGTGTTCCCCAGTCTCCCTCCCTCCCCGCCAGTGTCCCCCAGCGTCTGCTCCAGTCCTCATGTCTGTGGGTACCCCGTGTTTAGCTCCCACTCCTAAGTGAGAACATGGGTTTCTGTTTCTGTTCTTTCGTTTAGGACGACAGCCTCTAGCTACATTCATGTAGCTACAAAGAACATGATTTCATTCTTCTTCCTAATGGCAGAGCCTGTTTCTCAATCCATTATGTCCTGCCCTGACTCAGTCTCCAAAGCTCCTTCGTAGGCCAGAAAGGTTTCCTGTTCTACCTGTTTGGAGGTCCTTGCCCTCACCTGGAATCCACTGCCTTTAGAACTCCAGCAACGTTCATGCAGGGCTGATTTGTGTTTTTCCTGCACAATCACCTCATAGTTCATGTGTTACGATGTGACTCCAACACAATGCTGCCTCTGTGGCTGGGAGCACGGCTGGATGTGTTTTGGATGATCATGGTCCTGCCGTAGCACTGTGTGTGATCACAGTGTCATCAACAGTGGTGTACCTCTCGAATGAATGACTGTGTGTGTGGGTAAGTTGAGGATAAGTGGAAACTCTTAGGGACGAATTGTCTAAAAAGTAAAAATTTCAGAGAAAAGTTGGTTATGATTTTTCCCACCAGTTATTCTCAGGATTTTTTCCCCACCTTATCACACTGTCTTCACCTGCTTGGGCTGCCATAAAAGAATACCATAGACTAGGCAGTTTAAGCCATAGAAATTAATTTTCTTAGAGCTCTGAAAGCTGGAATCCAAGATCAAGGTGTCAGCCAGGTGTGTTCCCTTCTGAGGCCTTTTCTCCTGGTACGTGGTGCCGCCATCGTGTGTGCTCCGTAACCTCTCCTTTGTGTGCGATGGAGAGAGAGCAAGACCAGGCTCCATGGGATCATTTTTTTTTTTTTTTTAAGACACGGTCTCACTCTGTCCCTTAGGCTCGAGCGCTCACAGCTCACTGCAGGCTGTTTCCTGGGCCCAGTAATCCTCTTAGCTCAGCCTCCCAAGCAGCTGGGACCACAGGCACAGAGCATCACATTTGGCTAATTTTCAAATATTTTGTAGAGACAGGGTCTCACTATGTTGCTCAGGCTGGTCTCAAACTCCTGGGCTCAAGCAATCCTGCCTCGGCCCCCCAAAGTGCTGGATTACAGGTGTGAGCCACTGTGCCTGGCCTGCAGGGTCATCTTTAATAAGGACACTAATCCACTGGCTCGGCTGCCTCAACTCCATGACCTCATTTTGCCTTAACTGCTTCCTCAGGGTTTTGGATTTGCTTAGGCCCCACCACCCTCTCCCTATTGCCTCTTCTCTCTCTTGGAAACGGAGCATCTGGCTCCATGCCTGGCTCACTGCTGTATTTTGGGAACACGGAACTTGTTTGGGTTCCGTGGTTCACGGCTGGAGGGGAGCTCAGCTTCAGCATGGGCGAGTGGCACCCCGAGTCCCACCCACTCCTGATTCAGGTGATGTTTCATTGAGACTCAGGACTTCACACCTCAGCGCTGACGCTGGAGTAAGACTTCTGGGTCGGTTGTGATGGGATGAG